CTAGCGATGAGGAGAAGCAGGCTCATGTCCTTGCCTAGATAAAATGAATTGGATCATTTCTGTGTAGCTCAAGCAGACGATTGTTTGCACCACAAAACTTGCTGCTGAAACTGGCTCCCGCTCTAGCAGGCAGAGTTAACATTAGGGACTGAGGGCTGCAGCGTCTTTGGTAGGAGATCTGTATGCTGTCAGGTCAGAATAAAACACAGCTCGGCTCAGACATGGCACATGAGGATATATTTCCCCGAGTTGTATTAGCCAGAGTTCACAATACGGATGTAAAGTCCATTTTATGATTGTATGCTCACTGTGGGGTGTTGCACAGAAATGCATTTGTAGGGGCAGGAAAGTCAGGTGATACCCGATCGAGCACAAAGCCTTTGGGCACAAAAAAATAGCACGGCCAGATTTTTGGAACAGATCACCAGCAGAAAGGATTTAGTGCAGATCAGCTCTGTACCGAGGGGTTCTGCTGTTTTCACTCTGGCCCTGGGAGCCAGATAAAAGCTGGATGTCTTGTGTTCTCAGGCCATATCTTATGGAACTTTTCCATGCCAGATTCCTGCAGAGCAGGCTGAGGCTGTGGGGAGCACACATGCAAATTCTAGGGAGCTATGCTGGCCCTGCAGAAGTCCTGGGTGCTGTTATTCTGGCTCTGTACACTGAGCAAGCTATTCATGCCCTAATGAAAGAGCAGCTGTCTCTAGAGGTAGAGGAGGATGGAAAGCCGCCGCCCTGGCAAGATAGTTTCCCAGTATCTTTCAGCAGGCATATGCCATTTGCAAGGAACTAGTAGAGATCAGAGCATTTCTAGACCAGGCCAGTGGCTGGTGGTGTTTGGAGCTGAAATGGCAAACAAATGCGATAATAACCCCGTGGCCTGCTTACTTGTTCACAGAATCATAGAATCACGGAGTGGTTTGGGTTCGAAGGGACCTTACAGACCATCTAGTTCCAACCCCCTGCCATGGGCAGGGATACCTTCCACTAGACCAGGTTGCTCAAAGCCTCATCCTCATGTTCTTTGTACCAGAGGAATTTTGTCAATTTCTCAAGGGTCCTGCTTCTGTGGAACAACAGTCTTAGTGAGGAATTACCACCAGCCCTTTTGCATCGTCCCTGGAGCCGCGCAGGGCGGGCAGAAGCACTCATTGCCCTTCCCTCCTTGCTTACAGGCAGCGTTGACGCACAGGGCTGCCTCTCTGGCACGATGGCGAGTGTTGCTCCATGTTGCGTCCCGCGCAGTGCTTGCACCGAGGTCAGGCTAAGCCACGAGCCCAGTGGATGCTGTTGGTGGCACCCCACTCCCGTGCTGCACAGCTTGAGAGGTGGTAAATGGAAATGCTTTTTTGCCTTGGTCACTATTTAGGAATTAGGCATGAACCCAGACTGAGTAAAATCAAGCTGGTGTCTGCTGGCAGTGGGGTGGCTTTCCAGCGGTGAGCTTGGTGAGCTCCACGCTCACTGTCTGGAGTTGTTTGGCACAGGGTCGGTCCCTGTGGAGGAACAGGGATCCCACTACCAGCACACACTGTGCCAGTCAAGAAGGAAGCCAAAGATGCCTGTGAAATCCACCTTAAAGGTGTGTAACCTCATGGGAATACTAAGTCTGAAGCACAGGCTGGTGGCTGTTGGGGTGTGTTGACGAGGCAGCAGGAGAAGGGCATGCCTTTATGCCTGCAGTTCACTTCCACTCGGGAAACCTCTAACCCAGCACTTCACGTGATCTATTCTGCGGTGTTTTGTTAGCTGTGTGAAACTCGGTCTGCTGAAAAAGAATATGAAACAGAACTTCCACTTGAATTTTTCTTAACCTGGCAAATTTACACTTGCATCTTAACCACTACTATTTTTACTTCCATGCCCTTAGATTCAAAGACCCTGATTTTGGGGAAAATGAGACCAAACTCTACACAGAGATGTGCTCCCATCTCTGTACGATAAGCCTATTGCACAAACCAAGGCATTTCTTGAAGCACACAAAAGTTGTTGCCTTTCACGTCACTCAAGCAAATCCCATTCTAATATGGGCCAAAGTGGAATTCAAAACGATTATGGCTATGGAAATTCAAATCCTGAAAAATTAAATATTCAGATCCTCACTGACATACTGCAAATACATTTGAAACGTTCTTGTTTCCCAGGATAATAGCTACCTAATTAGGCTAAGCCTTTCACACTTTCTCTTTGAACCCACTGGGTTTATTTACCAAAAATCATTGCATAGATATGCCCAGGAAATATCTTAGAGGAGCGTTCGTAACTACATTAAAAGCTTAAATACAGAGTTTCTCTCTTTACTAAGTACTGGCTTTTATTAAAACTGTGAGTAGCTCATACTTCATCCCTTGCAGCCTCTTTAAATCCTCTGTTTGACATTTTGAATGTGCCATGCAGGTTCTAATACACATTACACAGAAAGAGCTATTATAAAATTCCTGACTTCTTCTTTGTTTGCATGACAAAGGAGGAATGGCAAATCCTCCAATTGGACCAGATAATCACTCCCCTGTGAAAAGCCTACAATACACATCCTCTGTTTTCTTCTTAGCTGAGCTTCAACTGTGTTTGGTCAATAATTTTATTTCACGTGTGAAGCCCATAAATCACTTGCCAATACACATTGGACAGTGAAGAGTCCTGGTAGATTAGACATCAGCCTCAGGAGAAAGCACATCCGGATCCAGGAAAGGTGGGTGCTGCTGGAGCCATCAGGCATTTTCATTTCATGTTATCATGGTTTTTTGAAGTGCCCTGACTATACAGTAGGAGCACTCTGCAGAGCGAAGGCTAATTGGATGGATAAAGGCTTACAGGATCAGGTCTTCTGACATGAGAGAGTGACCATCACAAATCTGTGAACTGCAGTTTAATCCAGGCGACTCTCACTATATAAACATAACAAATTCACTGCCACAGCTGAGCTAGCCAACACTTACAGAGCGCACCTGAAGGAAGCTTCGTCAGCCCCCAGTCACTGCTCAGGTGCACTCTGCGACCCACTCTCGGAAGCGGTTCATCGTGTGACTCCATATGTCCCACCCCATGAGAATCAGCAATGTGCCGTTTAGCTGGGTAGGCAATCTGGAGGGAACAGCCGGGCGAATGGAGCCTTCCTAAGGGACTGAGAGGGTCACAAAGATTTCAGGAAAAAAAACCCCTTCCCTCCTCTTATTCATCAGAGCAGGAGTTTTTGACGTGAGTTGGAGTTGAGGTGGTCAAATGAAGTGGATATTTTTCAGGGCTAGTTGTGTCTTGGGAATGAATATAACAGAAAACATTGATTTATCCAGAGAAACATGCCACACAAAGGGTAAGATTAAAGAATATACTGCCTTGGGCCATGCATGAACTGTGAGTTTGTAGTCTGTGATTCCATTTTAGCCTTAAAACTCAATTCAACTAAATAAGGTGCCCCATTAGCATCTAGTAGAGGCTTTATCATGTTTAAGGAGACAAGTTTCTTAAAAGGTTATAGAGACAAAATGAGCAGTAGCAGAAAGGTTTAGTTAGGCTCTTTCCGGAGGCTTTGTTGCCTCCCTCTGCGTACAAAACAGGCTGCCTCGGCTGACACTTGTTCTAATGAGGGACAAACCACAGCAGGGTGTTTTTGTACAACTTCATGACATCGCATCCTCCAGCCAGACTCTTCTCAGGTCACACCATTCCACCTGGACACTGGATGAAACCAGACCAGTTTTAACTCCTTTACAGAGACATATAAAATCCAAAGAACTTCTGATGCTGAAGACATTTGTATGTGTGCTCAGGCATGTTACTCCTGGAAAGGGTGAGAATCTGTCCCAAGTGCCGTGCTCCGTCCCACTTGTATCAATCACATTTTATTTTTTTTCAATTCGCTTCCCCTGGGAGTGGTTCCGAAAAGGGGCATCTGCAGCTTATGCCAGCAAAGGCCCGGGAAGCAAAGGTTGTGAGCTCCAAGTTTAAAGGTTGGCTTCAAGGCCAACAGCCAACACCCCCACCACCACCCCCAGCCTCCAGCTCGGCTTCGCTCTCCAGAGACAGCTCTATGGTGGTTGTGAATAGCATTCAGAATACCAGCATTCTTCACCCATGTTGTGGAAAAGCAGTGTTTTCTCATGCTCACTGAAAGGTGATCTGCTTTTATATAAATCCTTCTTCTTTTAAGCACAAGTGTTATGAAACCCACAGGAATCCATGAAGAATGATGGGACATTTTTCTAAAATGTCAGGCCTGTACATCTTCCATCTTCTGTGATTCAGAAGCAGCATAAAAGGCCATAAACCATTCAACTGCCGTGATTCACTGCCCTGATTCGTACACTTGATACAAATATCCAGAGATAAAAGCGGCACCTACCCCCCAAAAAAAAGATTTTAAATGATTTTTTAAAGCTTGCCTTAAAGATGGACTTCCAGCTAAAGCATTATTCTCCTGACTGATATTGGCTGTTTTAGGTAGCGAGTCCCCTGTGGTAAAGATTGACGCCTCCTTGAAGAGTCGTATGGTGCGGTACATAAAGCAAAGTACTCTGCAGATGTGTGTCCCCCCCGACCTACACTGAAGGGTTTTCTGGGCAAAAGTTTACAGGGAATTGAAAAAGAATGGAAACTCCTTCCCCGTGAAGGAATCTGGAAGCCCCCCTAAACCTTGTTGTATTAACTTTGCAGTAGATGAAGGTGTTAAACTGGCATGTGTCTACCGACAGGGAGTGATCCTTTTAAGTCCTCTGCTTCGTCCCCACTTGTGGAATTTGTTGTGCCAGTGGGACGAGGCTGGCTATAAAACCCCGGCGCAGGGGACCTCTGTCCCGCACAGGCAGCTTGCCCCCGCATCCCTGCCGAGAGCAGCCCCGGGGAGATCACCCCTTCACCTCTGCCGGGCAGGCGGCTGCTTCACCAACGGAGGAGGAGGATGGATGGGAGGTTCACCCGGGTGCTCTGCGTGCTCTGCCTGGCCATCACGGTCCGAGCGGTTACCCAGGAAGGGTTCAAGGAGGTGTTGCTGAAGCAGCTGGGGCTCTCTGAGGTCCCTAAACTTCATAAAAGAGACTTGGTGGATCTGGTTATCCCAGACCACATAAAGAACAAATACATCTCCATGCTGAAGCGCCACAGGGTGAAGCGCCGAGCTCTGCCGAGCCTGGCCGGCATCCTCAGGGGGATCCCTGGCACCGCAGGTAACGTCTCTGCCGTCGCTGTCGGGAATGCTGGCAGGGGAAGCTGCCCACGCTCACCCGGCCGGCCGCAGCACGGGCAGCGGCAAACCCACAGGGGGAACGAGGTTTGGGTCTGGCTCCAAACCCGAGCTGGGTAGAAGAGGTGTGTGTAACAGCATCTTAACGATTGACACGCACTTGTAACTCCTTGCACCCGGAGAGGGAGTCCCGCCGTCCTTGCAAAGGGCAGGCTGCTGGTGGAGCTTGGAAGAAGAGAAAAGCCTTGGTACCCAGGCAACGTTTTGGGCAGGTGGAAAAACGATGTTAAAAACGTCAGTAGGAAGTGCAGACCTGGCAGGTTTGGGGTCAAAACTGCAGCAAGTCCTCTAATGGGAATCACACTTCTTTAAGGATGTTTCCCTCTCCTCCCTCTTTTTATTTTCTTGTTTCTCTGGGAAAAACACCAAGGAGGAATTCAGCTGTGCGGACACAATGGTGTCTGTGCAAGGATGCTCAGAGCTTGTTTCATGTTCATGAGACGTACGCAGCATCCCTGGGCAGCGAATGAAAACACTTTGTTGCTGCGAGCGGTGCAGTTTCCTGCTTGCCTGCCCCTGCACCTTGCGGGGTTTGCCCCATTTGGGGTCAACTTATATAGGAGGTTTCTTTCCTCTGGGTTGCAGAGACTCAGACGCAGAGGAAGAATTGGGGCATTTGCAAGGCATTGATTCAAGTATGTGTGAGAAAAAGTGTGTTTAGTGGAAAGAGCTTGTTGTGATGATAAAGTGTGGAGGCTCTGCTCACCTGGATGGCAATGACAGGCTGTCTTTTTTGTTCCCAATGTTCACAGGCGTGGCAGGAGAAGTCCTCTACTCTGACATCGCCACACGCCAGAACCTCATCTTTGACATGGAGGGCAGAATACCAAAAAACAGTGAAGTGACAGTAGCTGAACTGAAACTCTTCAAAAAGCCTCTGGACAGGGCAAACCTGCCTGCCAGGCAGCCTCACAGGCCCGTCTCCAACGCCAGAGTCAGCGTGTACTGGGTGCAACGGCAGCACGACGGCACCAACAGGACCTCCCTGATAGACTCCAGGTACGAAAGGGACCTCTGCTGCAGGCAGGACTCTACTGGGGTATGGGCCCTCCGGGTGTCATATGTTTGTGCCTCTGGTCAGTGTGATGGGGTTACATCTGTAGAATCGGGCCCTATAGCCTCTATACCCAGAATGAGTTGGTAAGGGCAGATATTAGGTTAAGACTGCAATATATGATGGTTTATTGAAATAAGCTAGATGTTAAACAATACTGTATACTGCTAGGTCTTCCCCTCTAAAACACTCCTCCTGCTTCACTCCTCTCTCACTCTCTACCTCACACTGGCCATTTCATCAGCTGTCTTAAATAACTAAATTATGCAAAAAAGCATCTGATTCTGTAGCCTTGAGCTCTGTGGAAGTTTTACAACCCTTGAAGGCAGAATTAGACATCAAACCGATTTTCTGGGTGGGTAGAAGAAGCTTATGTCCCTAAAGCAGCTGGGACAGGAGCAGGTGGGCGCAGCAGTGTTTACCAGGCTGTCGTCACCGATACCGAGGCTGCATACAACCCTGCACCGCCGCGTTTCTGTGCGAGCATGAATGAATACCTCAACACGAGCATGCACAAAGGGTTTTATTTAGCCCTTCAGTGTCAGCTAGATCTGCACGCTTCTTTAAGACGTGTGAGTTAATTGCCGTGGGTGCTTGCCCAGAGAGCTCAGCAAAAAATTATCGTGTAATCAAGGCACGTGGCAATCCACAGGAAGCAAGTTATTCCGCTGCAAAAGCAGCGCTGCGAGCCTGGGCTTTATCAGATGGGCTTTTCTCTACTGCCAAGTCCTTGTCACGCAGGCTGGTTCCTATACGCGAGTCGGGCTGGAAGAACTTTGATGTGACGCAGGCTGTGCATTACTGGCTGCGAAACAAGAGGCGGGAGCCCATGTTCCTGGAGGTCTGGATTGAAGGAGAAAGGATTGGCAGCCACGCTTCGGAAATGGCCAAAGCTGTGCGTTTCACCTCCCAGGACCCTAAGGATAAAGCCCTGGGCAAACCTGAACTCGTGCTTTACACCCTCAACTTGGAAGACTATGGGTACGTATGAAACCTAAATCTGTGCTGTCCCCAGTGTAATTTTGCCCCTGAATTATTGCACTGCGAGTGCCAGCCCAGAGCGCACAGCTCTTGCCCTCCCAAGTAAACCGCTGTGAACAAGAGTTAGAAAATTGCTGCTGAATCACACCTTTCCTCTTCCCATATTTGTTGTCTGAATATTCAAAAGAAACCCAAGCATGGCCCAATTTTCACATCTCAGGGCCTACCCGTGCTGTTAACAGGGGGGACTATTTCTCCCACCTTCCTGATCTCCAGTGACGGCATCAGTTCTTGTTTCTCCCTTGGCACGCAGGGGCCCTGGGGACTGCAAGGAGGAGGCGGTGACAGGGAAGTCCACCTGCTGCCGGCAGAAACACTACGTCAACTTCCGCGAGCTCACCTGGACGCAGTACTGGATCATCGAGCCGGCAGGGTACCAGGCGTACCGGTGCACGGGGGGCTGCCGGCAGCCCCCCAGCCCGCTGCGGCACTTGGGCTACAGGGAGCGCGCCTGCGCCGTGACGGAGAGCTCCCCTCTCCCCATGATGTACCTCGTCAAGAGGGGCAACCGCACCGAGATCGAAGCGGCCGAGTTTCCCAACATGATTGTCGAGAGGTGCAGCTGCGTCACGGACGGCATGGCGCTGGTGTGAGATGCTGGCGGCCAGCCGGGGATGTCACCCAGTCCTTCCCATTCCCTGCAGCCCTGCCCAGAGCCACCCCGGTCCCCAGCCCCAGGGACAGCGATAAATCCTAGGGGGGGACCCCCAGATGCCCACCTGCAAGCAGCCGGGGCTGCGGCTCTCCCACACGGCCCGCTACCCTGCAGAGAGGGTGCACTTAAAGGCACTGTCCGTACAGATGGGCTCAGAGGAGCATCCATCCTGACGTATACCTATGTGGGGGGTACCTATGGAGCCGAGCGCTTCTCGGGGACCCCTTGATGCTACACAAATTTCATTGAATTGGTGGAGCTGCATCCCATTCATTTCAAACCGCTACAGGCAAAGGAGGCGTGATCATCACCAGCTGAAGGAGTGATGCGTGGGTTCAGCTGTTTGTTCTTAGGCTCCTGGTTTTGGTCCTGGTCTGTCCAAGTCACGTTTACGTTGAATTGGAGAGCAGAAGCACTTATATGTATATATTGTATACACACACACGCATGTACATATATATAGTATATGAATATATGTATGTGTTGTCTGCATACATATTGGGTATATATTGTCTACACACATACATATATGTACCTAAAACATTGTCTAGAGCTCCAAGGAACATATACATGTGCATATGTATTGTATATATATATACACATACATAAAATATTATCTGGAACTCAAAGTATAATTTTTGGCCCCTGCATTTTTGGCCCCTGCACCATGGGCTTTGCAGAGTTTTAGGCAGAATATAGAGTCCTGGAGTCAATGGAAATATTAGGACTTAGATTTGTTCACATGAGTAACAGATTGTAGAATCAGAACCTTATTGTTTTGGTTGTGTGTTTCGATTTAGGGCTATTTTCTGTGTTCTGTGTGCTTTCAAACTCAAGCAAACAATAAAATAAAATTACTAAAGTAGCCATGTGTTTGCTTATATTTATTCTTAGGTCTAAAAGTAGAGGGAAAAAACCTGTCCTATTTCTGAACGTGCCCAGTGCCCAGCTCCTGTAAGCATACACACAGTACCAGCCCTTCCCAGTTACCTGTGTCAGCCTCCTGCTCCTGGTAAAGCTTATCTACCCAGTCAGGGACCGGGACTGGGCTAACGGGCAGGTGGAGCAGAGCCCACACTGCCAGAGCTTCTCTTGGAGCTGCTGTGGAGTTTAGTCCAAGACTTTCTTAAAGAGGAAATCTAGAAACACGTGACAGGCAAGAGATGATGCTCTCCCTGTGAGCTGCTGCAGAGCCGCACCAGAACCCGCAGGCAATCAACTGGAGCTTCGATGGGGAAAGACGTGAGCTGCCTCCCACCTCCTCCTTTCGCAGGGGAAGCGTTTTAACCCTCATCCTTCCTTATGGGCATCTCACCAACACATCCCTTGGAGAAAAGCAAGGAGGGTTACAGGAATGCTGGAGAGGGGCTTTTTACAAGGGCCTGCAGTGGCAGGACAAGGGGTAATGGGTTTAAACTGAAAGTGGGGAGAGTTAGATTGGCTATCAGGAAGCAGTTCTTCCTGGAGAGGGTGGTGAGGCACTGGGACAGGTTGCCCAGAGAAGCTGTGGATGCCCCATCACTGGAAGTGTTCAAGGCCAGGCTGGATGAGGCTTTGAGCAACCTGGTCTAGTGGAATATGTCCCTGCCCATGGCAGGGGGGTTGGAACTGGATGGTCTTTAAAGTCCCTTCCAACCCAAACCATTCCATGATTCTATAATGTGGTTTAATCCTTTTTGAACTGTTCTGAGCTGTTGGCCAGCGTGTCACCAATGAGAATGATTTCCACACTTCCTGTTAGACTCCTCTCCTCGGTTCATAACCTGCTGAGACACCAGTGGCTCTGGGGATGAAGTGGCCACTGCTGTCCACTTCTGTGGGATGTGGTCCATGAGGCTTGACTGAACCCGCTGCTGGTGGGAGGACTCTGAAATGAGTTTGGCTAGACAGGGTGCCCGTGGGCCATGGACTAGTTGAAAAGAGGGACCTGTTAGACTCTGCAGTGGCTTTGGGTCATTCATCAGGAAGGCTGAGATGCCAAGTGTCCCTGCTGCCCTGCAGGACCGCAGGTCTGAGGTCACCCGGGCATCCCTGCCATCACGTTGGCCCATGGGTAGGCTGGCACCTTTCACTTGTGTAAACGCCTGTGGCCAAGGAGGAACTTTAGGGGTAGGAAGAAAAGGCAGAACGACAGACTCACCGGTGCTGGGCTACAACACCATGGCTTACTGGAACCGGAATTGGATGAGCCAGATCAGTCTCTGGCCATTTCCTTCTCATGACTCTTAGCATCTCTCTTAATGGCATTGACATTCAGCCCCAGTTCCTCTCCACCCTGCTCAGGGCAGAGCATAGCCTGAAAGCCATGAGCTCAGCAATCACCTCGGAAAACAAAGCCCATCCAGGGACAGAAAGTGTTTGAACTGGTTCCTGCCTGAGAATGAAGAGCATTAACCCTGGCTTGCCTCCAGCACTTGGAGTCTATAGACATCATCCCTCAGGCCTGGGAGACATCCCAACCAGTGCAATCACCCGGGCTGCTGCAGGAGGCGGGGAGCAGGGAGCAGAGCATCACAGCAGGGATGCAGGGCTGGGACCAGTGGGGTGGACAAGGGCCGAGCCCTCTCCTTTTCCCCTCCGCCAGGATCCTGCGCCGTGCCTGGCTCCCTTGCTTTGCGTCTGGCTCCATTTGCACTAGTGTCCTGTGGACACAGGTACATAAAAGTGAGCGGTGGGTCTGTGTGGATGTGTGTGACAGCTGGGGGGAGATGGGGAGGGGGAGGCAGCGGCCAAGGAGACCGGGTGTTACCATGGGGACAACTGTGGGTACCGCAGCACAGGGACAGGCCACAGATCTGTGAGCAATCGAGCCTTGTCCCCAGCATGGATATTTATTTATTGCTAGGGCAGCTGCACAGATGTCACGGCATGTCCCTCCTCCGTCTCACCGCCCCTCTGCATTCCCAGCCCTCGAGTCCCATCCAGGACCATATGCGCAGAGTGGAGGCCTGGGGAAGAGGTGATGTACAGAAAGCGATAAGCATAGATAGCCTGGGTGGCTACATGCCAGGCTGGGCATCACCAACACCCACGTCTGGTGTCTTGCATCCCCAGCTCTTCGTGCCCACAGCCTGTACCCCCATCCCTTCCCAGCAGCTGCACGTGGGGCCTCCTGGGGACTCCCAGCTTTGACCAGACCCTCCCTACACCCACTTCATGCACAGCACCACCATCATCTGCTGAAATGGGTAAAAAATTACCTTCTTAATTAACCAGTTGTGCTGTTGTCTCAGTATGATGGATGCTGTGGCTAGTTTTCGAAGCACGTTTAGGTTGAAACTTCCCACTTTTGGGGAGACAGGACAGCCTTTGGGGAGACAGGACACTGCTCCCCAAACCCCAGCTGGCTTTGCAGTGAAACTGCAGGTGGCTCAGAGGTCGGGCTGATGTGGAGAAGGCTCCAGAGGTCTCTGCAGCACAAACCCCTCAGCAGAAGGCTGTGGATGAAGAAGTACTGCCACACCTGGGGCTTCTTCAGACACCAGCCCGTGCTGTGGGAAATTATAGCCCAGGCTGTCATCTTCAATCCAGGCTGCATTGGCTGTGATACCTTCTGCGCGCTACCTCACTGCTTTTGTATCTGCACAACCTGTAATGCACGTGAAGGATGTCAAGCTGTCATGTTATCCTTTCTGTCTGAGTGGCACCGCAGCCTCCGAGGAAAGGCAGAACATCTTGCCTACCTGGCATTAACGTTTACGCTGTGCTGTTAAAAAACCAAACCAAGGACAAGCAGCGCAGCGGCGTAATGAGACACATACAAGCAGGCACGATTCCAAAAAAATGTAGGGGTGTTTTAAGGCAAAACGTCAGGCATCCTCCTGCGGTACTGAGCGCAGAGCGTGGTTCTCAAGGAGGAGGTGTGTGCTGCTCCAGTTAAAGGCTTCAACAGCCCTGTTAGTCCCACACTTAAAGTTAAGCTCCTGTGTAAGCGCTGGCAGTGGCAGGGTGCCTGCGTTAGGGCAAGCATGAGCTCCGACCTGCCTTCATGGCACTGCCCACAAGGTGACCTGGGAGGTCCTGCAATATTTACTGGAGTGGGACACGGGGAAATATTGGTCTCACAGAAGTTTTTTTCTTATGAGAGGGGCTCAGGCAGGCCAGCAGCACCTTCTCTCTCCTTTATCACTACATTTTAGGAGAGATAAACAAAGTTTTAAGCCATATTGAAGGCCACTGCTAGCTGACTTACATTGCCCTGTCCGATCCTTCCACTGTTTCATTTGAACCAAGGCTGCTCCCCCATTTTCTTTCAAAATCTACAAGAAGTCACAGCTTTACCCGGTCGGTGAGACCTTATTTCCTCTCCCTCTCCTTTTTTTGCCCCCCTTTGAATTTCACAAACTCCTACCAAGAGTGTCTGACACTTCGCCTTTCGGGGCAGCCTTCTAATTGCCAGTGGAAGTGGAAAGTCAGCTGCCCAATCCACATCCCACCAGAGGTGATAACCAGGGGAGCTGCTCCAGCTTTGGCTGGGAACAGCTGGAGTCTGGGAAAGGGGAACCCAGGGCAAACAGAAGGGGGGAGGCAGAGATCCCACCAGACTCTGATACTTTGAGAGGAGCCTCCTAACAGTCTCAACATCTCCTAGTTCATGCCATTAATTTCACGTGAAATCGGCTCCTGTGCAAAGTGCTGGATTTGCAGCCAGGATCTGAACTTCCCCGTCCATTCCTGTAGCAGGTGCGGGACAGCAGCCTGCACAGCATCAGCACGTTTCCAAATAAAATCTATCCACAACTGCTGCCTTCCGGCCTGCACTCCGGGGGTACAAGGGCAGTCCAGAGCTGCGTGGGTGCTGGGGTTTCCTACAGCTACACCAGCAGGTACGGAGCGGCCAAGCAACAGTTTTTAACCATGGTAGGAAAGAATAAGTTATCTGGCACTGGAAAGTCATGTCATCAGCCCACAGCTCTCGGTTTCCTATATGAGAATTGCTGAAATTAGGACTTTGGGTTTTTTTAAAAGCTATTTAGTAATTTTGTTTGAAAGGCAATCCTAATGTTTAATTGTGGGGTGTTTTTGTCTGCATTTCTCCTCCTCGTTTTCTCAGTGATGATAAATCTGCCCCTTTGAAAGTCCAAGTACCTGTATCCCCTTTAAAAGTTTTTTTAATGCCGTCAGCTCACGATCACTGCTTCTCAGGCGACTGCCAACTTCCAGCCCAGCGGTTGGTAGCTCCGTGAGCCTCAGGAAGCCTCGGCCTGTTACCGCACGCTGGATACAACATCACACAGGTACCCCCTATAACCACCAGACATCATGCTGTCGCCGAGAGGTGTATTATTTCCAGCAGGTGTTTCCGAAGCTGGCTGGCTCCTTATGAACCCTGCTCTTCTGTACATCCCAGCCAGGTTTCACAAGGGCTTCTTGCTCCTTTTTGCACTCCACGTTTTGTGCAAATCCCCGATTCCTTGTGCCTGGTTAGAGACGCGGGGCAAACACAGCGGGGAGAAGCAGGACACACGTTCTGGCCACCAGCATTTAGACCCGTTGGGTCCAAGTCCAGACTATGGATCAGCCATCCCCTGCCCAGCCTCTTGCAGTGTGCTGGGAAGCAGGGGGGCCCGGCCTCTCCTCGGGAGCTGGAGGAGGTCAGAGCTGTTGTCACCTCCTTACCATCAGGTGCCATGAGGTATGTTAATCTGCACAGCCACCCTAATTGCTGGGCTGTAAGGGAAAGTAAAGCCAGCTGAGGTGGCTGTGTCAACCAACCTGGGTGCAGGCTTTAACATCTCCGCTTCAGCGTTTTCGAGGATCCTTTAAGATTTAAAAATAGCGCCTTCCTGGCAGTAGACATCGCTCCAAACAAACCTTTAGAATGCCAATGTTCTCCAGAAAGCAACCTCTTGGGTAAGAATGAATTTCAGGTGGATCAAAACGATGAATTCTGGCTGTTTCCAGAATAGGCAGAATGACATAAACGTGACCCTGTATCCCCGTGCTGCAGCAGCTCTGTACGGGTGCGCACCACCGGGCAGATTGGTCGTAGGGCCGAGGGTTCCATCAGCGCCGCAGAAGCTGGACACGGCCCTCCACCGTCAGTTCAGTGCCACCTGCAGCCACAAGTGCCAGAGCTGTTGGACTCAGAAAACCGAAGGATGACATTCCTGCACGCTCCAGCCGCTGCAGTGACTTTTTAGTAACTGGTGCGCTTGTCCACGTTGCGGAGGACTGCGCAGGCGAGGAAAATGGGAAAGGAGCCTTTTGGTTGAAGGCTGGGGGCTGTTGCTGCGTCCGCCAGCGATGGTCTTCCCAAACTTCCACAAGTTGTTTCTCTGTAGGTCAGTTCAGAAAACAGGTAATCGGTCCTAATCTCAGAGCCCGCTCGCGAACGTGAATTCTTCCATACCTCTCACGCTGCAGGGAGATCCGACGCTGGAAATCATCCAAAACACTCTTTTGTGATATTTGATTTCTCTAAAGATTTCTCTTCTGGACAGGGTTGAAAATACCAGTTTTCCCTTAGCAGAAGGAAGTTTCTGCTCCTCTGTGTTGCAGAAAGAAGTCAGGAAAAGCCCCAATGATTCAGGTTTAGCTATGGATGTATGCTCCTGCTGGGCAGTGTCAGCTGCTCCAGGGTGTTGCTTTTTGGCACTGACAAATCAGTACACCAGAGGGTTATTCGAAAGCAGCACAAAGGGAAACAGCACGCTCCAATGCTGAACTTGCCAGCCAGAAGCCATTTCTTACCACATTTGAGTATTCTGCCCTGTTCCCTGTTATTTTTTGAGGTATTATGTGTACTTCTACCGCTTTCCAGCATATAGATGGATCGGCATGAGGTGAGGAAAAGCCCTCCCCCAGGTGTGTGCCAATGTTTTCGCCAATTAGATGTTTTTCAGTCAGTAACTCCGAAATGCAGGAGGCAGTGCTCTGGATCTCCGAGGGGTTTGAAACGAATGCCTTCTAAACAGCGCTTCAGAAGAACGCGCTCAGCCTCGCCACTTCCTGGTTGGGGGAAGTGTTTGCGTGGGAGCATGAAGCTTTCCTCCAGAAAGATGTTCACAGTTTTGGTGCATTTACAACCAGAAACACTTCTGAAATCCAAAGCTGCATTAATGCCTGGAACAGGGAAGATACAGGCAGGGTACTGCCAACTGCATTATCCTCTGGACCCGGACTAGAAAGATCACCTCTACTCCTAGGCCGCCGAAGGGACAGTTGATCAATAAAGTGCTTGGTGCTACTGCTCTGCTAAAATATTCCAGTTCCCCTCCACCACCCAGCGTTTATTCCCTGCCTTATGGAACGCTGCTTCGCCTGTCAGATTTGTTAGGGCCACACCGTCTGCCCCGTCAGGGAACCCGTCCGGTTTAACAAGCAGCCCGCCACCACACAAAAAGGCCCGTAGGCCCACGGCCACGTCAGCGCAACTGAAGCAAGGAGGGCGACTGCAGTGAGGGGAAATTACTCGGGTAAGAGTTGTCGCCAAAACACATATTCAACTGGCCCGTCCGCTTTTGGCCCACGCTCTCCCTGCTGTACTGCAGCCCAGCTTGAGCATGTTCACAGAGCTGAAGGCTCCCCTGACCCAAACGATGCACAGGGCCGCAGGGGCATGGGCCGGAGGCACCCGAGGGGACTGCCGCTGCTACGCAACGCTCCCAGCCAACACGCTTACGCCAACGCTTCCTTATGTTGAGGCGACCTCCCAGGTGCCCCCCAGTCCGGTTCCCTAACAAAACACACTCAGCAAACACTATTTCCCATTCACCCAGGGTCCATTTGTCCTGTGAGATATGATTTGCAGAGCCTCAACATCTCCTTCTCCCCCTCCTTTTTAACTCACAGTTTTCCAAGGCTTCCTGATAGATCAGAGCGTCAGACACATCAAGGGCTTTGCTGCCACCCAACTCCTCACCTACTGGATCATTTGCTAATTTCAGCCCCTGCTCATCATATAAAGCAGGTTTCGCTAACGCTGAGCTGCAAAACGCTGTTCATCACTGCCGGATCCCACGCGTGGGCGAACAGGAGAGCACTTTAAATGCGCTGGAACGATTTAGCCATGATTTATGTTTTCAGGGCACCCTATCACAGATCCGCGAGTGCTGGGTTTGTGTGTAGTGAGGGAACTACACCTGTAGTTACCACCCCTGCAAATACCTGCCTATCCTTTCCGCAGCTCCTTGAGATGCTGATGAAGCTCCTCTTGCGGATGTGAATTTAGAAGTCGGGGCTACTCAGCTGAAAGGACACCGAGGAATTCTGTTTATCCACGTCAAATGCAAATGGAAGACCGGTCTCCCATCCGTCTGGCGGGTGGAGGAACGGCAGCAGGCAGGTTTGGCCGTGCCCAGGCATCAGCTGCTGCGTTGGACAAAATTCCGCGCTTCCCCGTGGGCGGCGGTCCTCAGCAGGGCCGAGGAAGGCTGCTCGGTGCAGCCCCCGGGTGGGAGGGCGTAGGGGGGCGGCGGGGATGCCCCGCAGGCCAGGCCCGCAGCGACACCTGCCGGCACCGGCCTGCCCGCCTGCCAACGCCATTCCCTAACACAGCCTGCCTGCCAGGCCACCTTGGTGGGGGAAGGATGAATTCAAGAATTAAACTGCAACTGCCTCTTTCAACCCAAAACCTCCAAGTGGAAACAAAACAGGTCCAGAGAGGTGCTGGGGTTGCAAAACTGGCTGAAATAGCAAACTGCTTGTGTCAGAAATGTGAAATGCAACGCGAGACAAACCGATTTCCTAGGCCATAAACATAATATTCTCCAGCCCAGGGTGTAAAACCCCAAGTCTGCTGAACTGAACAAGGCGTTTAAGTCCTTGGGAGACGATTCCCTTGGTTTTACCACAGGAAGGGAATTAAAAAACACATCCTGAATTCCCCATTCAGCTTGAGATGACCATTCCCTGTCTCACTGACCTCCAGCAGCCAGCGAGCACACTTTGTTCTTCTTAATTTAAGGATGGGATTCCCCTCACTTCCATACTCCTCCAGAACAAAATCGGTAAATACCCCCATGGACCTTCTTCTGAAAGACACACAAGCATTGGTGATTCGTATTACACTGATACCCGACATCCCACAGAAACTCAAGGAACATCGTACTTATTCCTACTGGCCTCATCCACATAAAAGCGTTCTTTTTATTTAAAGAAACTTCGGCTTCTAAGCCTGGACACCAAGTTCACCGTTTCCCCTCTGACAGCTGAAACACCACAGGCGAGAGGAGATCCAATGCAATGATCCCAAGAAAGGATTGCTGGTTTTATTAAAACAGGCAATGACAGCATCATACCACCACTTCCCACAACGCGTTGGGGTTACGTCTTTCCATGTACAGGGAGTTTATTCTCCCCGTTGCATGAAGACTTGGTGTAACTATCTGTAAAGCTTACCAAAAGATAACAGTTCCACTCCTTTAATGTTGAACATACTGAGCGCATATAGTAACTTACTCCGTGCTATGTTAATTGGACTTAATAAGAACAGAACTTAATTAAGAACAGAAACAAAAGCTATCCAGGGATGCAAAAAAAAACAAACACATGGGTCAGTGCAGAATAACATCAGAATAAGAAAAATTCCACATAACCACATGGATCTAAAATAAACTACTATTTTGAAGTCATTTTTTTTTCCCCTTAGAGGGCTTCGCAAATAAGGCAGGGTCGATCTGGTCTCTAGACAGACCTCTCACTGAAAAAAGCCTCGCCGCTCTTTCCTTTAAAGTGCCTCCACATTTCAGTCCTAAAGACATCAGTTCCCTCTTCAGTCTGTCTAATCCCAGGGCTTCCATTTCAGCAGCAGAGTTGAATGCCAGTAGGTCTACTGGTTCCTCCTCCTGCAACGAGAAAAACATCCCATCAGGCTACGACTGTTTTCTTCCTGCCTGGGGGGTGAACGAGCAGAAAACAGAATGCTGCACTTTACAGATGACCTTCAGTAAGGATTATCCCAAACTCCCAATTACTTTATTACACCTATCCAGACACTGCTCCACTTTATGATGTTGGATATTCTCCCTATTAGCAGTCCTTACGCTGTCCAGGCAAAGTATTCCTGCATCCCGTACAAGCCAGCGGAAGCTAGCCTGCATCCCAACCGCAAACCATGCAAATCTTGGCAGAGACAACACACCGGGAGCAGGAGGAATGCCCAGGTGAGCTTTGCACCCGGCGTCTGACTGCGCTGCTGTAACACTACTCCTCGTGGTGCCTCTGCTAGCTAGCTAAAGGCTCGCTCTCATACATCCCGGCAAGCTGCAGATGCGCTCAGCCTCGCAAGGTGCCCAGCCTCCACGACAGAAATACATATAAACACACAGTCGTTGTAGTAAGGTTAACAAAAAAGCAAGTTCTTAGGTTCACATCTCAGCCTGCCACAAGAAAATGGATTAAAATTTTCACCTTAAAAGGAAATTAGTATATCTGGAGAATAATGAAGGTTGAAAGGGACCTCTGCGGATTGCCTCCTCCAAGCCCAGGCCCTTGTCCACAAAAGAACAAAGACCGGATAATTCATACACTGGAACTTCTAAATACTAACACTAAATAGTAACGCACTAAGAGGACAGTAAAATCTAAGCCTGCTTCATTCACTGCTTCAAACACCGATTAGTCTCATGGTACATATGACGATGGAGTTATCACAAAGACTTCGGGGCGAGTAACACCAGCAGCGGGAACAAGACCGCTCCGTTACAAACCATCAAAAACCATTACCGCTAGCAGAATGGGAACCTTTGTCCTGCTAAGCATACAAAAAAAAAAAAAAAAGACTGGTTACCTCATTATTCTCATCCTACTTTAAAAAAAATACATCAAGGACTATTATAAAAATATTTCCACCTGCAATAACAATCTGCCACAGCACTGGTGGAGTTTCCTGTTCTAGGAATAGACAGTCTCCCAAATACTGAACAAAAGGTAAACAGTGAAGAATTTAAACAGGATGTTTACCAATTTGCCAGCTCTAATAGTACAGTAGATGACAAAGTTCTAATTTATCAGGCTACCCTTGGTCTTTTTTCCACTTAACTGTATTAAACTATCATTTATCAGTCACTGGCAGTGGCAGCTGGTGATAAACTTTCTGCTCAAGCTGAAAAGAGGCAGAAAATCCACGCAACCCCCCAGCCCAAAAAAAAGCCACATTTTTTTCTACTGCTAGAATAAGCCTAGATTCGTTACACCTAAAAAGGTAATATTGTGCAAGAAGCAACAAAGGACAGGTATTGGCACTTTTCACTGCCAAATATTAGTTGAGCTTCCATCAATTCCGTGGGAAAAGCTACATTCTCTCTTGGCTGGAAGATGGATTTGAAGCCTCCTCAGCAAAAGAATCCCAGCCACCTTCCTGTCAATCACCAGAGAAGGAACCTCACCATCAGCACTGCTCCTGACCTGGCCGAGAGCTGCGACACTGACCCAGACTGCCAGCAGAGACAACGGTACGGCAACGGTACAGACCTGCTTCCACCCCACACATTCCGGATCATCCTTCGCCGCTGAGGTGCACCCCAACATTTGTACCAATCCTGTCTCTAGGGAAGGGGCTGCTGCTTTGCAACTTTGGTGCAGAACTACCGGGGTTCTCTAGGAACCACAAGTCTTTTTGTAATTAAGACTAAGAAAACCTGATCAGCTGATTGGTTTAGGGGATGTGTACTTGGAACAACTTCTAATTTAAGAGGTCAATTGCCCATAAATTATGTTACAAAAGATGAGTCAAACTGGACAGTGTTTGACAATGTCTCAAAGTATGGATAAGTCCTTCATCCTACAGAAGGGTTTTATTTTCCTTTTTGCCCCTCAATAGAGAATTTCAGCTCCAGAGTGCATCTATTTATGTATGAGGGAAAACAAAAAACAAAGCTGCCAACAAAAAAAAAACCCAGTGGATCTCAGGACAGACCGTACAAGCCCACCATGGGCAACTGCATCTTAGTAGAAACTAGACTATTAAAATCTTCTTCTAATGAGGTTCTTCCTTGGCCCATTCTACTCAGCACGTCTCAAGACAATGCCACCATACTACAGTCCAGCTTTCTCCATGGAGACACCAACAACCAAGAGCATTCTTTGGCTGCAGTTTTCCGTTAACTTGCTACCTTTTGCTTTCTTAAGTCGTACAGTCCTTTTCAGTTAAGCACTTTTTCCTTTTAACCTTGGGACTTGTCATGCTCTGAATCAAACTGAAGATGCTACTGGCTTCTTCAGGAGACTGTGATTCTAATTGAAGCAACATCTAATGCACTGAAGTCAGAGGTTACAAATCCCTTCCCCTTTTCTGCAATCCACAGGGGGGAAAAGCGATTGAGTAAAAGCAGCTGAAGAAAGAGACATACCACATTTTGTACTTCATACTCACCATGCTCTGTAACTGGCTCGTCCCCTGTGCCTCAGGAGAAACATGTTCTTGTTCCCCTTCCTTCAGAGCTTGGGTTACTTCACTCTTTTCTTGGGCCTCTTCCTTCAAGGGCTTTGTCGTTTTACTGTTTTCTTCAGCTGGAATTTCAGTGTGCCCACCTGTGTGTGTCTCTCCCTGCAGATCTCTTCCAGTACCCTCTGGCTGCTCCAGAGGTTCCTCACTCACGCTGGTGGCTGGACAATTGTCCACTGAACCCACAGAGCCGCCAGAACATTCACTGGAGCTTCCAGCTTTTTCATTAGATCTGCTGCCTGACGGACAACTTTCATCGGATGCATGAGGGGAAGCATCTTCACTGCCATCCTCAGAATCGGAACTGGAACAATCATCCAATCCTTCCAATCCCAGCCTGGCATAAGCAGAACGTTACAAATTATTATTACTCTCTTTGCACTTTTTTTTTTTAATTATTCTTATGATCACACTTTCTTTCCAAAACTCACTTCAGAGAGCTGCAGTGAACTACTCTAGGAAAGTTTAGCAAATGGAAGAGCTGCTAATTCTGAAAAGGACCCAACATCCCCCCAAAACAGATATCTTTTTACAGCATTCCCAATACAGAAATTTGTGCTACCGATTGCTATTCCAAACAATGCATTGAAACTTCTCTTTCAGGTCACATTAGGTGGAAAAATGCCAGGAGAAAGAAAAAACCTACACCCCACTTGTTTTTAGTTCACTGTCTTCTTTTCACTAATGAACTGAATTTACAATGAGAGATATACAGAATACAACTGTATTAATAAGGGGGGAAAAAAGTGCCTATTTTTGCAAATGAAGTTGGTCCGCTCAGCTGGGACAGAACTGCATCAACACAGCAACAATTACTGGCAGTTCACCAATTTAATCAGTTCCACAGTTCCACTTCATTTTACTATTCAAGTCTACATCTCTGATAAGAGGTTGCTTACTTGTATGTACCTAACCTGTCATCCTGCTCAACGCTTAATGCTGGAGTATTAAGTATATTAAAAGAAGAGTCACACTACTCACCAAAAACATTTTCTTTTCCGAGATTTTGTTTCGTCCTTTCCAAATTCACCTGGCCGCTTCCGACTACCGCCGCTTTCTGGTGACACTACTTTGCTTGATGTGGCCTGCAATCCTTCAAAACGAAGTTAAAAGTCTAATTCATGGGTGCACAACTCACATACGTTGTAAGTTCTACTTATCTTTTCATTTCAGATGCAATTCACAACACCAGCTGAAAATAATCACTACTGGTGCACATTTATGTAGACTCAAAGCTTCAAAATACACTCAGTAGCAGCAAAAGCTTTCTTAGGCTGCCTTACTAAGGCACAAAGCCAAACTTAAGATTGGATTCTCTTGTAAATTGTAAAACTCTCATGTTTTGCATCCCTTTCAGCCTCAAGTTTCACTGTCAAGCTGCCAGCAAGGAACCAATCTGGATAAATAACCACAAAAACAGCCAGTAAACCAAGGCATTTTGTAGTTGGATTCCATTTCTAGTAAGACATATTATAATTTCACTGAAAATAATTATTACCGAGCTAGCAACACTACCTTCAGAGAATTTTGCTTTGATCGTGAGATGATGCCCTAGCACAGGAAGATGAAGCATCACTTGTATCTCTGTTACGCTGCACAACGCGATTTAAGAGAAGCAGCAGCCGAAGAGGAAAAACAAAGTCCAACAAATTCTACTGCAATTTAAATTTCATTCAACTGAGTGAGTTACTCTCAGCAATGTTTCTGTTTCCATAATGGAGCGAGGCTATAGGGACTTCTGGCTTGCTTTATTTTTTGAGGAGAGACAGCAAGGTAAAACTGCAATACCTTTAAGGACTGAATCTTCTAGTCGCTCAGACGTTTCATAACACTGCTGCCAGTATTCTGTGCTTGTGAAACAGTGCTTTGGCTCCGCCAGCTTCCGCTGCAGCCTTTCCAAGCGCCTTTGCTCTTTTTCTGCTTCCCGTTCTGCTTGCTGCTTCACCCATTCGGCCATCCTGCAGGCGAGAGAACCATGAAAATGAGAGCATTTCCAATGCTTCCTGTAATATCAGTTTGTTGCTTTGCAACGCTTCTACCACCGTCTGCTAGGATTGGAAACAACAGGAAAAGACGCCAAACACCAGGGGAATTACTCAAGGAACGTATACATTCTGCTACAGAGAAAGCAGTAAAGTTTACTTTGGAAGCCAGAAACAGCAGTGAGGTCACCACTGTCATGGTCGTGCCGCTTCAGAGAGAACTGTGAGAATCCCAGGTGAGAAATCCAAGAGATGCACAACAGCCTCTGCTAAGCAGGCCGCAGTCCAGTCACCTCTCTTTAGCAATAATATAATTCTAGTCAGAAGAATCCTGTTAAGTTCCAGTCTGTCTGCGCTTCAGATTTCAATTCTGCTCTTTTTACTACCAAGAATAAAATGTCATTGCTACAACAGCCTGTCATTTGACCTCTTTTGTTAACAGCAAACTACATGGCCAGTTGATTTTGTAATTCTAGCTTCTACAAAAACGGCTTACGCTTTTTCGTGATTGACATCTCGAAGCCTCCGCCCACTGAGATCTCGGCAAGCCTCTCTGTTGGTTGTCTTTTCAATCTGAGCACCAAGTGCTCGAAGCATAGACCCAAACCCTGAGGAAAAAAAGTAATCAAGCATTAATAAACAGAAACAAATGGAGATGAGCTCGTACATAACAAAATAATTATGGAAAAAATACAGTGAATTCAACACTTTCCCTCAATGCAACCAAAATTAAGGGCAAGTTGAAAGTTGGAGAACTGTCACTGGTGAAATGCTGAAACACTAAGTGAAAAAAGGGTATCCAGCATTTGCTTGCCACTCATCTCGGTTTTGTGCTCCTGATATCACACCAGATGGTCTCCAGATTTACTAGAACCTGCACAGCACTTCTAACACGAAAGCCTATTCGTGGACTTCCCCAGTAAAATGGTTTGAAACCTTTTTCATCCCAAGCTAATATTTTGGGTCCTTTTTTAGCCAGGACATACTTCCTCCTTAAGCATTAGCATCCACCAATCTTAAAATCCCCTTTTAAAAATCTAACAGAAATTATAATTACTGTTTCAGGAGACAGCCTTAGCCACTTCATCAAGGTGATCATGATGTACAACGTTATCCTGGAGAACTCCCCCCGAATCGATTTCTATATGCTCCTCAGCCACTATCTACTCATAGGCAAGACTGCTAGCTTTTCTCACTCGCTCCCACATTATGTTGTCTCCAGCTGGAGAAAGACACTTGTTCAACTACCTCAAACAAACACCATATGGATCAATATTAGTGTAATCCTTCAAGCAAGTTGAAATTGTTAAAGAACAATTTTAAATCGACCCCAAGGGCACATCAGTAACACAGAATGAATCACAGCACACATATCCTGTGTCACCTCAGGATAACTGCACCTGATGGACAACAGGCAAGGAAGAAGAATGCCATAGTACAAACCTATACCATATGCGCCACTTTCAGGATGCTTAAAAAAACAAAATCAAAATAGCTCATATGCTATAGCAACAATATTTATTTCCAGTTCTGTCTAAAACTACGAAGCAGTCAAGAAAACTACGAAGCTGAGCTACAGTCCAATGCAAGGCTGCACAATTATTCAGTGTTTTAGCTCAAGAGAGAGAAAATTCTGAGAAACATTCAAAGAGCAGCATGCACTGACTCCTGCTGAACCTACTACACCCATCATGTGTAGTAGGTTTAAGCAATGCCCACATTGTCAGTAGCTGCATCGTTTTACATTATTAATATTAATCTTCCATACCACAGCTAAAGTATTTTGTCAACACAAGGAGTGTGGTTCAAATTGAATTCTTTAGTTCTTAGGCCACTGACATCTCAGCATTTATATACTTTCTCAAATAAGAGAAGACAAAATCAGTCAGGTCGTATAACAAACAAATCGCATACTATTTGCACCTGGAACATTTGTCCTAAGTGACCACAAATGAAAACAAGAGTCTAAGCAGCCAGGTGCTTTTAAACTCAAATTCAAGTCTGAAGTCACTCGGATGCATGTTCAGCTTTCTGCTAGCAGAGCTAAGTTGCCCCAGAAAGCAAAGATGAGCTATGCAAGCAAAGCTGTAGCTGAGCTGCAGCTTCCTTGGTCAATTCTCAGCTTTGTAGGTTGACTTTGGTTTCAGCTCACAGACATTACTTCAGAGTCATCCACATTACAAGAGATGTGCTAACAGATTAGGACCACTGTTCTCAGTATAGACTACAGTACAACGAAAGTTTTTGAACCTAAGAATCTAATCAGTAACAAGCAGGTAAACAACAAACCTCCTTTTCCACCACAAAGTCTTGGTTCCAAACTATAAACAGCTCCATTCTGCAATGCGTCTTCATCATTAACCAGTCGTCCGTTACATTTCACATACAAACTCTCTTCAGGAATATTCTTTAAAAAAAAAAAAGGCAAAATTAAGTCATATGATCGATTGAAAGGGAAACATTCTGACAAAATAAATAGTTAAGGAGTAATGTTTTCTTCCTTCTTATAGGAAAAAAAGGGAAGCAAAACAAAAATCATACAATCCTGAAAACAAACATTCTCTATGGCGCTTGTTTTACAATTGCTGTTTACTGAAGAATTAACACCATAATCAGCTTGTACAAATGAATGGGGAAAAGCCGTGCTACGGGAAAATTTACATTAAGTGTTCAGACAACAGAAACAAACCAAATCCCGCGTTTTTTTGAACTGTAAGGAATTAGAATTTAAGGTCGATACGTTTCACAGATGTAAGAGAACACGCAACGCTCTTACAGCAAACCCTCCGGCTCAGCTCAGCGACAGCACCGAGAAGCTTGCCCACATTCACAAGGCGAGTCAGGCCTCACGGCAAGCGGGGAAGGGGCGAGGGCAGACCTGCGGCCTGCTAACCGCCGCCCGGCCCCGAGGCCTGAGGGGACGCCGCGTCCCCACAGCCGCCACCGGCTTCCCCTTTCCCGTTTCCCTTCTACTCACCAACGCCCCAGCTCGATCACGGAGGAGGCTGCGCACCGAGCCGCCTCCGGCGGGCAACAAAAACAGCTGCGCCCGCGAAGCCAAAGGGTCCCGCACCAGCAGCGCCATTTCTCCCCGGCGTTGCCAATGGCCTCTGCGCATGCGCTTGGGCGACGACGTTGTCAACGGTCTCTGCGCATGAGCCTGGGTGATTGTGACGCGCGGTCAGGTGACACGAGAAAAGGGAGGAGA